ATTTTTTCCTCTTTATTTCCAACAAAACTAGGTAAACTTCGGCCACAATCAAGGCTGATAACTTAATTTGTTTTCTCGTCCTTGGGACCACCACCTCTTATCGTCCTGATCCTGCCTAGAGAAGAAAAAACTTGGAAAATGCTTTTTTTTAAATACTTTTAAAGGAGGAAACTTGTACGTTTTCATTGTTAAAAGGTACTTTGTAAAACAAACTTGAAGTACTGTAAAATTAGAGTGAAGTACAAAAACATTTAGCTTTGTATGAATATTTTGCTGAATAAATAATTAACAATAAAAACTTACATGTTCTAATCTTGAATTGTGATTATTTAAAGATAAAATGATTCCAAGTATTTCAAATGCTGATTAGTATGAAGTGTTCCGATAACTTCTCATTTATCTCTGTGGCACAAAGGACTTCCTACGGTTAAAAAGATGCATTACTGTTATTTATCAAGGGTGAATTTGTTGCTAAATGCAAATTTTATCCGTGCAGTTTTCGTTTGTACATTCGTCTCGAGCGAGCCGTAATTTTATCTACCGCTTTAAATAATAGGGGTGGTTCGACTTGGGGGTGCAAAAGAAAAGGGGGGAGGTTCAAATTATTCCGTTCAGTTAATAACGTTGGATTGCAGTTTTGCATGCACTGGGTTTATTTCGTATTGCGAAATGTAACTTTTTTTCTTTTTACTTTTACTGTTCTTTTATAAACCGGCTTCTGTTTATCAGCAAGGGAACTTATAAATCGCATGGGTATGTTAGATTGTGCACGTACGGCCAAAGAATCACACAACGTCCATTGTGGTTCATTGTGAAAAAAAATCTAAATTTCTTTAAAAAACCAAGAAGATTATTATCTAAAAACATTATTTGGGGCGTTATGTAGGAATTTATGTCGAATTTTTTCGATTGGTCTAAGCTAATTTACACAGACTTGGGCAAAAATTGCGCTTCGCCTGAAAGTTAATTAATCCATTCCTTAGGAGATTAATAAAGATCAAATGGTCAACTAATCAGCGTCCAGGTTGCCAGGAAAAGCTGTCAACGATTCAAGGACTATTTCTTTTGTGACGCGGCCAAAATTGTTGCAATTGGGCAGGGTCGTGGCACCACACCCACCAAATTCGTCCGACAACGCCTTCGCCATTACCATCTGTTCTGTTATGTACAAAATTTATTCCTGGATAAAAAACGTAAAAGCTTTAGGGCGTGGTGGAAGGAAGGCGAGAAAGAAAAATCAATTGGTGCGCTATCGATGGACATTTAAGAAACTTGGGTTATGCCGTTTGAAAATTAAATTGTATAGGTTAGGTCAGGTTATGAGACGCCATGCCTGTTTGTGATAAGCCTGGATTCCCAAGTCAACTATCCATTTCTTCAACAGATTTAAGACTAATTATGAAAATGAATTGTGTCTGATAATACGCATTCAAAATGAATAAAACAAAACCACGATATTTTTCACACAAAAAATAGTAGAAACTTAGGTTAGAACAGGGCAGTCGCCTTGTCTGTTTGTGATAATCTTGGAAGTGCCATGGTCGATCCATTTCGTCGACAGATCAGTAATTACGAAAAACGATTTGTCACACATGGTGAAAATTATTATTTAAAGCAATCTATACAGTGCTTTATCTTGGCTATAGTAATATGAAAATAAAATAATTTTGGCTTGTAAAACCATTATCTTCAGGTGTCACGTTGAGACGACTGATTCTATTTGTGATTTACCTGAAAATGCCAACACAATTTCATTCAAACTTACTACCAAATTTTGAAACCGAGATTCAACAGTAACGTTAATTATTGTTGGCTCTTCGTCCGAATAATTTTAGATTTTTTAAAATATCTCGGATAATTTACTACACTTCTAATCATAAGCAACTGGTCTAATTTTGATCCGACCGCCATATGACTGAAACAGCAAGTTGTGATAAAGTTCAGATAAGGGATTCCAAAGTAAATATCGCGTCTGTTTTATGCATAACATGAAATTGTGTAATGCCTAGAGCAAAAAAATAGCCTAGTATAAATATCTGATACCCCAATTCCGCAAATTGAACATAAATTTCACGTATTTTTGTAAGATTAGAAAATTAATTTCCAATCAATTAATAGCGAGAAGCCGACTAACAACGAGATCATACGGACCATTTTTTAATGAGAATACCATTACTGTATAATAAAGTTTAATGGATTCAGGAAACTCCCACACTTAAGTGTTTGTCATTTGTGTAAAATTATAAAATCCTATTTTAAACGACCACAATTTTTAACTTGGGAATATTGTTTATTTATTTAATTATGAGTGCTTCGATCACAATTTGACATTTTGGGACTGATCTACACGAAGAAACTCGTAAAACAGGTGTTATTTGATCAAAATCGAAAACTTTGAGACAAAAATTATTTTGTTTTTTTTGACCACAGGTCACACTAAAAATAATTTTCTCGAATAACTAAAGAATGTGCTTAGGACAATTTTGAATCACAAACCATAAAAAATAAGTGAAATATTGCGTATCCTTTCATAACAATTTAAAATATGTGGTGATTAGTGACAGTTAGTCGAAGATTATTCAAAAATCGTGAGATGCGGTCTGGTGTGATGTAGGTTTCAGAAAAACATTTTCTTTATCGTGCCAACGTTTCGAACTTTATTGAGATCATCTTCAGAGCTCAAAGTGTTTGTTTTTGTGTAACTGTGCCGTTCTTGCGTGTCATGTTGAGAGTGCCTTGCAACACGACACGCAAGAATGGTACAATTACGCAGAAAACAAACACTTTGAGCCCTGAAGATGATCTCATGAAAGATCGAAACGGCACGATAAAGAAAATGTTTTTCTAAAACCTACGTCACACCAGACCGCATCTCACGATTTTTGAATAAATAACAATTTAAAATATTTTTACAGTCATGACTTTCTGGACCAAGCCCACACGTGAAAAAAAGGTGTAAAAATTAAAAAAAAAGATCCAAAATCGGAAAAATCCCTAACAAACATGCCTGCCTGCGAGTTCTCTTGATGCATTTTTAAAATTCGAAGTTTTATATTATTTCTCATTTATGGCTAAATGTGTACTGCCTATACGCAAAAAAGTAAATCAGCTTTTTCAATTGTAACAGTTTTTAAAATTTTCACACAGAATTGTTGACTATGTTCTCATATTTAAGTGCTTAAAAACAGATTTTATTTCTATTTGTATACGTACGATAGGAACGGATACAGATGAGAAATAAAGAAAAACATACATGCTGAATTTACGAGGGGGCAGAATTATACACTGTAAAATATAATAAGAAAACCAATATTGTAGAAGTTTACGTGTTGTTTTCTTTTAACAGACTCTTTGGTAATAAACCCCATTAATTTTCACAGAACTATTTTTATATTTACACTGCAACTAAATTTTTTTACGATCTGTATAAAACTTTTATTTTTAATTGCCAGTTATAAACGACGTGTAGGTTGAAGATTTATATACTGCCTTTTTTTAAATCGTGTAATTTTTCCCTAGCTAATACCGGCAATGGGAAATCATAATGCATCATAATTTTAAATTTATGCACATTTTTATAAATTGGGGTTTTACCCATATATGGGAATACATGGGAACTAACTTTTTTTAGGATTTGTGTTTTAGAAATCGGATTTTTTGTCACTAATGAACTTTTTGTTAATTAATGCCTTTTTTTAGGATAACAGTTTTATAAATAGGATTTTTTGGCTCATTTTACTGGGAACTAATGCCTTTTTGCAGGATAACAGTTTTATAAATAGGATTTTTTCAATCTAGGCTTATTTTGCTGGTAATGACTTTTTAGGATGAGAGTTTTTATAAATCTGGTTTGTTCTCCATGTGTGGGTCATTTTACTGGGAACTAATGCCTTTTTTTTAGGATAACAGTTTTTTAAATAGGATTTTTTTGGCTCATTTTTCTGCTAACTAATTACTTTTTTTTAGGACCACAGTTTTTATAAATCTGGTTTTTTCTCCATGTATGACTCATTTTATTGGGAACTAATGCCTTTTTTCAGGATAACAGTTTTATAAATAGGATTTTTTCAATCTAGGCTTATTTTGCAGCTAATGACTTTTTAGGATGACAGTTTTATAAATCTGGTTTTTTCTCCATATATGGCTCATTTTACTTGGAACTAATGCATTTTTTCAGGATAACAGTTTTATAAATAGGATTTTTTCAATCTAGGCTTATTTTGCTGCTAATGACTTTTTAGGATGACAGTTTTATAAATCTGGTTTTTTCTCCATGTGTGGCTCATTTTACTGGGAACTAATGCCTTTTTTTTAGGATAACAGTTTTATAAAGAGGATTTTTTCAATCTAGGCTTATTTTGCTGCTAATGACTTTTTAGGATGACAGTTTTATAAATCTGGTTTTTTCTCCATGTATGGCTCATTTTACTGGGAACTAATGCCTTTTTTCAGGATAACAGTTTTATAAATAGGAATTTTTTTGGCTCATTTTTCTGCTAACTAATTACTTTTTTTAGAATCACAGTTTATACATAGTGGGTACTAATTTCCTTCTTTTATCACATACTTTTGTCTCCCATTTATAAATCATTTGTTTGCCATTTATTGTTTTAATACATCGAAAAATTTTTGTCAAGTAAATTTTTGTAAGTGCCATAAGCAAATAAAAATAAAGGTACATAAACGTAGAGTTACGAGTTTGAACAATGGAACATTACTGTCAAATATAATCAACCTAAACATAAAATAAACAATAATGTGAAACATAAAGGTAAATTATTTTTTATAGACTCTTTGAGAATAAACATAATTTGTTTACATCTATAAACATTTTTAATGTTTACACGGTTTCTTTTAATATCCCATATACATTATATTGCTTATGAGCCTGCAGTATTGGATTCAACTCCCTTTAAACTAAATAAATTGTGGATATGGACAATGGATGAACGGGTTAATAATGTTGTTTTGTAGGTGAAAAAAACGTTCCTTGTAATTACCTTTGTTTTAAGAATAAACCTTGTCTTCGAAAAGGGAAAGTGACCGGCGAAAAGATTACGACTCGTCGGATTATCCGATGCACAAGTAGACGATACACCACAGGCACAAGTTAGCGACTGACTGAACTGGTCGGGGGACCGTACGGCGATGCTTCCTCCAAACGGATTTCAACCCCTCTCTCCCGTCGGTGGCGCCATCTTTCGGTCTTTAAGCATAAAATATGTTGTGAAGGTTGAATCTACAAATTAAAAAAAAAAAACTGGTTAGAGGATTGTTAGTTGGATTAAAATTCTTGACGTCTTTGGACCGCGTGATCTCACCGGAGGGTGATCTGTCTTTCGTCAAACGTGCCTATCTGGTACCAAAGCGTTGTCGAAACCATTTTAGACCGATATAATCGTAATGTAAAATTTAAAAAAAAATTCACTTGTAATAAAGCTTTGTAGGCATCAAAATTTACATAATTGTATTGTCTGAGTAGGTATGTGATTTTTATGTATACATGCCACTCTTTTCATTTTTGTCAAAAATATATATATTTCTGGTTCCAGTGAAAAGTAAGTTAGGTAATTAAAACACGAACTTTCGGGAAATCGCGTTTAAAACTAAATTTTTCTCAAAATCAAGTGTTGGATAAAATTTCCCAAATTTTGCCTTTCTGGTTCTCTCAACATTCCTGAAATTGTTTTATTATTTTCCCGTGTAATTAATTCAATTTTCTTGTCTCTTCTGACTTGATAGATAAATATAGGTAGAAATAGTTTAAGAGAGAGAAATTGAGAAAAATAAACACAAATAGAGAGGGAGAGAGAGAGAGAGAGAGAGAGAGAGAAGACAGAAAGAGAGTGAAAGAAATATGTAGAATAGAGGTAGAATGAGAGAAAGAAACAGAGAGTGTGAGTAAGTGGGTGAGTCAGAGAAAACTACAAAGAAACAGACCAACAAAAACAAAGAGAAGGCGTGAAAAATTGAAGATAAAATGAGAGAAAACAGTAAAATACCAATTATTATTTAGCGAGCTAACCTGAGCAAGAAAGAGATAGTGATAGATTTAATAATGATGGTGATGATGAACGCTTCATTTATCAATCACACAAGATTTGATCTCAAGGACCATTCTTACATCTAATGTGAAATACAATGGTTACTAATTTTACTCTTCTTCTAATTTATTAAACATTAATTACTTCGAGTTCCAACTCACAGTAAGTTGTTTTGCTCGGATTCCGAGCCCCTTAGCTCATCGTCAGATTATAGAAATCCTTCAACCTGATGATGAGCTAAGGGGCTCGAAATCCGGTCGTTGGCAAACAACTTATTGTGAGTAGGAACTATCTTTTTTTTAAAAAGGATTGAACTACGTATTTACTTGAAATTGCTTATTGAAATAAATATTCTAATTTATATAATAATTGAGCAATTAAAAAGTAAATTACTAATAAAATAAAATAGGTGAACACAAGTACTTTTCAATTCAATGCAGTACAGATCTTAAATTTTAAAACTTTACTCACTAAATAGTAATATGAAAACAAAACTAGACAAAACAATAAAACAAGTTAAATTTAAGACATCAATCATAACTAGATTAGAGATGATTTTTATGATTATTAGATTTAAGAGAGAGAGAGAGAGAGAGAGAGAGAGAGAGAGAGAGAGAGAGAGAAGGGGAGAGAGATAAATAGAGAAAGTGAGAGGGAAGGGGAGAGAGAAAGTGAGAGGGAAAGGGAGAGAGAAAGTGAGAGGGAAGGGGGGAGAGAGAGAGAGAGAGAGATATGGCGTGCGTTGAAAATAAGGTGAGAGTAACAGGAAATTCTCATAAAGTCATATATAAATAGATAGAGAGACAGAGAGCTTGTTAGAGAGAGGGAAAGGGGGGAGTGAGAGAGAGGAGGGGAGAGAGAAAGTGAGAGAGAAGGGGAGAGAGAAAGTGAGAGGGAAGGGGGGAGAGGGAGATATGGCGTGCGTTGAAAATAAGGTGAGAGTAACAGGAAATTCTCATAAAGTCATATATAAATAGATAGAGAGACAGAGAGCTTTTTAGGGAGAGGGAGAGGGGGGAGTGAGAGAGAGAAGGGGAGAGAGAAAGTGAGAGGAAAGGGGAGAGAGAAAGTGAGAGGGAAGGGGAGAGAGAAAGTGAGAGGGAAGGGGGGGGAGATATGGCATGCGTTGAAAATAAGGTGAGAGTAACAGGAAATTCTCATAAAGTCATATATAAATAGATAGAGAGACAGAGAGCTTGTTAGAGAGACTGAGAGGGGGGAGTGAGAGAGAGAGGGGGAGAGAGAAAGTGAGAGAGAGAAGGGGAGAGAGAGAAAGTGAGAGGGAAGGGGGAGAGAGAGATATGGCGTGCGTTGAAAATAAGGTGAGAGTAGCAAGAAATTCTCATAAAATCATATATAAATAGATAGAGAGACAGAGAGCTTGTTAGAGAGAGGGAGAGGGGGGAGTGAGAGAGAGAAGGGGAGAGAGAGAGAGCGATAGAGACGGCAGAGACAGAGAGGAAACAAGAGGGAGGGAGCAGTCTTAGGAAAACAGAAACAAAGACAGATATAGAGGCTGAGGAGTTCAATCGAGCACGTAAATGGAGTATGATAATAATTACAGTCTCATTAATAAATTTAAAAAAAGGCAACAGAACAGGTTCTAGACTAACAACGAGGTTATGCGGACAGGTTTGTCATTTTCTAAGTTTTCATGAAATCGGTGAAGCAAACGAGGCCAAATCTGCTAAACGAAGCAAGACAACTGTCTTATATAAACTTTATTTATGCCTTTTATTAAAAATAATACTTTGATTATTGTCACCACATATTCGTGAATGAGTGGCATAGTTACTAAAATTGTACATTATGGTGGGAATCTTTTTTTACATTTAGAACAGCTGTATCTAGTGTACAGAGAGTAAGTGCTAGTTTTTGTTTTGTTTTTGACCTGGAGGAACTTGTACGTGTACCGTTCAACCATCGAACCATTTCAGACACAATTCGAAGGGAAATCGGACCCGTACGACGTACGTGAAACATGAGACGAAGGCTCAATAAAGACCACAGAGGGTTCTTTTTTTACGAGGGTATTTCAACTACGAGATAATATGAACCGTTGGGTGCTGATTTTTTTTTTTTTTTCAATTAATTAAGGTTTTTAGTTGAGAAAAAAAGTCAGTGTCACGAGCGGGATTCGAACCCACGACCTTCGGCTAGATACGCCGCGGCTCTACCACTTGAGCTATCGTGACCTCGATCCACTCGGACACTAACCTCCCATCTCAACCCCACCTTCACTAGTTTTCGTAGTTTTATCTCAAATAAAAACCTTAATTAATTGAAAGATTGGTCAAGCGGACCATGAAAACTAGTGAATTTAATCATTTAATATAAAGTATACCTTCACTAAAGCTCTCTGTGGCCATTTCATTTGTCGCCGAGAATCAAATAGATTACATGACATTTGAAAAATGGCAAAAAGGAGGGAAAATTCAAAAGGTGGGGTTGAGATGGAAAGTTAGTGTCCGAGTGGATGGAAGTCACGATAGCTCACGTGGTAGAGTAGCGGCGTATCTAGCCGAAGGTCGTGGGTTCGAATCCCGCTCGTGACACTGACTTTTTTTATCTAAACTATAAAACTTAATTAATTGAAAGATTAATTGGTCAAGCGGACCACGAAAACTAGTGAATTCGAAAGATTGCTGTTTTAGGTCTTGGAAGACGTTTAATTATCCGTACCACATAAAAAAGGTGCAACATGAATTTCATTTTTATCGTAGAAGTACATCAAAGTTGATGTACTTCCAGGAAAAAACATACATCAGAATGAATTATTTATTGATACGTCCCTTTCTTTTTTTTTTAAGATATTTATCCCAGATATTTTTATGTTCGCTTACCTGCTTTTTTTAACTAGACTATTTACTTTATACTTAAATTTTGATTTGATTTTGCATTTAATTTACGATAATGTAAGGAAAGTAATCGCCATTGTTTTTATTTGTGTACTAGGGCTGTTAATTCATTTGTTACGGGCTGTAATGGGCCTTCTTTCATTTGACTTTATAATTGGCCCATGACCCGCTCCTCAAGTGTAATGAACGGAAATGCAATTAAAAAGATGACACGTTCTCCACGTCAACGGCGGTAGACGGATTAATTGGACGTAGAAAGCCGATGGGTCCGGTACGTTTCGCTCTGTCCGGTTCTTCCCATGCAGGATTTACGGATGACGGTCTTTTCTTCAATCCCGGCCCCTGCTTACGGGATCGGTTAAATCCCTATTCAAACTCAATGTACACATCGAGTTTAATGTGATAATAAATAAAACAGGGCTTCATTCGTTTAAATTTATATAATTTTATGCCATCTTGTTTTTGTCAAAATTAAACGAAGTACATTATTGATTTTCCTGAGACAGCTGGCAGAGTAATGATGGTTGGTTCCTAAGAAAAAATTTCACAATATTTCTATTGGTCAATTTAAAAATAATCCATAATATTTAGTGGTCTATTTGACCAAATTACTCCTCTTAATTAATTATTCTTTTTATGTAAGGCTTGGTTGAAATGAAAAAGTTAGTCTCAAGCGTGATTCGAACCCATGACCTTCGGCTTTAAAAATAATAAGACATTTCGACACAAGGAGATACCATTTGTTATATAAATTTAAAGCTACCTCCCTCCCTCTCTTTCTCTCTCTCTCTCTTTCTTTCTTTCTTTCTCTATCTCTCTCTCTCTTTCTTTCTTTCTTTCTTTCTTTCTCTCTCTCTCTCTCTTTCTTTCTTTCTTTCTTTCTTTCTCTCTCTTTCTTTCTTTCTCTCTCTCTCTCTCTCTCTCTCTCTCTCTCTCTCTCTGACTTTGTCTCCTGTATCTATTTATCCCTCCGTCTTTTTGTCTCTGTTTTAATTTATACATTTGCATATAAAGATGTTATCACAAAATGAAATAAAGGTAGATTGATGGATAAATCAAGTGAGGGAGAGATAATTGAGGAAACTAAATAATAAAGAGAGTGGGAGAGATAAGTTCCCTTAAGGACAACAACAACAAACAATATAAATACATAATACAGCAGAGCGAGATAGAGGCATATATATCGGATAGCTAGATTTGTACATTACTTGATAGATATATTGAAATAATTA